TGCATATATAATTACCTTTAACTTTTCTGGGGGGAGTCACCTGTGACTTATTGGGGGTTTACTCAGCTAGACAAAAGTGATAGCCACAGATCTCAAGTTAAACCCTTCTGTAGCTTTGGCTGAGGCTTACTTACACTTCCACAAAGCCCTACTATTTGAGAGGATATGTAAGGCACAACCTTAATCTCTGGAGAGCTTTTGTCTGACTCAATCTTTCTGAGGCCTTAAGAAAGATTTGAGCTCACACTGAGCTTCATCTTCAGGCCACATTTGATCAGAAGTCCTTTCTTAATTTTAGTACTCTCTGCTGTCCAGAAAGACAGCATTTCCAAAACAAGACCTAGGTCTTTTTGGTTTAACAATCCTTCCTTTAGTTTCTCTCTCTCCTTTCACATTTTACTATGAACAGCAAGAAGCACCATATACTATAAACACTCTGGGTAGAAATCTCTTCAGCTAGCTTACCCAGTTCATTTGATACATTTTCAACCTTCCACATAACTTTAGGTAACAGTGTTGCTAAACTTTCTGGAACTACACAAGAGAAATCTTCCCTCCAGTTTCCAGTAACACTTACCTAACTTGCAAATCCTCACTTGCAGTCTTACCAAATACCACCAGGCTCCAATTAATCACATCTTAGAGGCACTTCAGGCACTCACCGACACTCTCCTTAAAGCTCACAGCTCATTTCAAAACCACTCTCCATATTTTCAGCTTTGTTATGAAGTCTATTAAGTAGGTATTGCTGTGTAACAAACAAATTATCTGAAAACATGGCGGCCTACAACAAACATTTACTATCTCACTCAGTCCCTGAGGGTCAGGAATTCAAAAGTGGCTTGGCTGGGTGGCTCTAGCTCCGGCCTCTCCTGAGATTGCTGTTAATTGTCAGTCAACACTGCTGTCATCTCAAAGTCCGACTGGGACTGCAGAATCTGCTCCTAAGTTTATTTACGTGGCTGTGACAAGCTTTGTGCTTACTAGGTTTTGGCTGGATGCCCCTGTTCCTCACCATGTGGGCCTCTCCATAGCCTACCAGAATGTTCTTATCATAGGAAAAGCTGGTATCCCTCAGAGTAAATTATGAGAGAAAGAGAAAGGCGGTGGGGGGGGGCGGGGGGGGAATACCTTAAGAGAGATGCCACAGTCTTTGATAAAAAAGTCTCAGGAATGAGACATAACATCATTTTTGCTATTAGTCACATAGACCAACCCTGGTACAATCTGGGAGGGTATTATGGTTTGGATATGGTTTGTTTGGTCCCACCAAGTCTGATGTTGAAATTCGGTCCCCAGTATTCAAGGTGAGGCCTGGTGTAAGGTGTTTGAATCATGGGAATGGATGCCCCATGAGTGGCTTGCTTGTTCTCACTCTTAGAGAGAACTGGTTGTGGGAAAAAGCCTGGCACCTCCTCCTCTCTCTCTTGCTTTGTTCTCTCACCATATAGTAGGTGAGTTCTCTCACCTCCCATTCCCCTTCTGCCATGAGTGGAAGCAATCTGAGGCCCTTCCTAGATGCAGATGGCAGCCCCATGCATCTTTTACCTCCTGTAGAGCCACGAATGAAATAAACCTCTTTTTTTTGTAAATCACCCAGCCCCAGGTATTCCTTTGTAGCAACACTACACAGACTTAGACAGAAGGGAATACACAAAGGTGTGAATACCAGGAGACAAGAATCATAGGAGGCCATCTTGGAGGCTGGCTATTACAAAAGGTATGGTCCAAATATTCAGCAAACTAAAACGTGGCATGATTTCAGTTCCCTGGTGTAGCATAAGGAAAACAGACGGGAAACTTCACTTAAACATTTTTCTTATGTTGGCAAAGTAACTGTAACAATTGAACCTCACAGAACAAAATGTGATTGTGGTACACGACCTGACTTTATATTGAACGATATTTGCTCTGTCATAATAATGTTATAAGGCCAGGCGCAATGGCTCATGCTTATAGTCCCAGCACCGAGGGAGGCTGAGGCAAGAGGATTGCCCAAGCTCAGGAATTCAAGACCAGCCTGGGCAATACGGTGAAAACCTGTCACTATAAAAATTAGACAGGCATGGTGGCATGCGCCTGTAGTCCCAGCTCCTCGGGGAGCTGAGAAGGGAGGACTGCTTGAACCCAGGTGATCGCAGCTGTGTGATCACACCACTGCACCCCACCCAGCGTGGCAGAGTGAGACTCTATCTCAAAAAATAATAATGTTATAAGTGATGCTTATTAAATTCCAGCTTTGAGAATTATTCTGTACATTACATATGGGAGCTTAATTACGACTACTGAAGATAATATAAATATTATCACCTTTGACAAATGTTAAAATACAAGTACAGATTTCAAATGTTAAGTGGTGAAAAGAGCCGAAGAGGCAGGAAGAAGATCAAAAATGCTATCAGAATCATTTTACAAAGACAAACGATATTGTCCATAGTTACAGAATAAGAAATAGAGTCAACAGAAGAACTAAAAGTATTATGTAGTAATACACAGAAACAGGGTAAACAAGCTAAATCCTTACTCACCAGAGCAGTGAGTCAATAGGTATGTAAAAGTTGTTAAATCAAGAAGTAATGGGCCAGGTGCAGTGGCTCATGCCTGTAATCCCAGCACTTTGGGAGGCCAAAGTGGGTGGATCACTTGAGGTCAGGAGTTTGAGACCAGCCTGCTCAACATGGCATAACCCCACATCTACTAAGAATACAAAAAATTAGTTGGGTGTGGTGGTGGGCGCCTGTAATCCCAGCTACTCAGGAGGCTGAGGCAGGAGAATCACTTGAACCCAGGAGGCGGAGGTTGCAGTGAACCGAGACCACGCCACTGCACTCCAGCCTGGGTAACAACAGAAAATTCTGTCTCAAAAGAAAAAATGGTATAAATTTATTAAACATACAGAAATAAATACCCGAAAAACAAAACAGTTATATCTAGAAGGAAACTGGTTGGTGGGAAGGAGTAAGAAACTTGTTTTTATTGTACACTCTTCGATACTACCTTTGTTTCGTGTTTTGTTTTTATTTTACATTGCCATGCCTCTTTAAAAAAGAATTTTAGAACTATAAAACTTTAAAAGTTTTCTGCCAGGCACAGTGGCTCACACCTGTAATCCCAACACTTCGGGAGGCTGAGGAAGGCAGATTGCTTAACCCCAGGAGTTCAAGACCAGCCTAGGAAATGTGGTGAAACTCCATTTCTACAAAAAACAGAAAAATTAGCCAGGCATGTGGCGTGCGCCTATAGTCCCAGCTACTTGGGAAGCCAAAGTAGGAGAATCACCTGAGCCCAGGGAGTCAAGGCTACAGTGAGTAAAATCAGGCCACTGTACTCCAGCCTGGGTGACAGAGTGATACTCTATCTCAAAAAATAATAATAATAGTTTAAAAGTTATTCCAATGTATAAAGGACAACAATGTTACAATTATTTAAAACATGAGACAATATGCATCAAAAGTCACAAAAATTACAGCAGGGACTTCTTAGGCAAAAAATAAAAATTTAAAAAGTCACAAAAATATGCAGACCCCTTAACTAATTCTCCTCTCAGCAATGTCTGAATAATGATATTAACTATGGTGTTATTTATAACAGCCAGAGGCCAAAAGTAATATACCAGTAAAAGACCGGTTACTAAATCAGTTCATATAAAAACTGGAAGATTATGTACATATTAAAATTAGTAATGTAGATCTTTTTATTGACATGAAAAGACAATCATAATATGCTATTATATAAAAAATAAAGAAACAATATACATATACTGTTATATAAAACCAGGTTACAAAACCATACATAGCAAGATTCCATTTTTGAGGTTTCTATATAGAGATGGGTAAAAAGGCATACACATATTCATAAGCACAAAAATACACCACAGACACACTCACACGGAGTCTAGAATAATATGCCAAAATATTACACTATCTAGGAGATGGTATTACTGTTGAATTTCTATTTACTTTTTAAGTATTTTCCTGTAGCATCTGAGTTATTTGCATATACTACTTTCACAATCTGAAAAAAATTGTCTAGTTTGAAAAATAAATGTGCATATACATTGAATCTGCAATTCCATATGCAGAAATTGGTTGCAAAGAATAATAGATAAAATGTTCTGGCTGGGTAAAGTGGCTCATGCCTATAATCCCAGCACTTTGGGAGGCCGAGGCGGGTGGATCACTTGAGGTCAGGAGTTCGAGATCAGCCTGGTCAACATGATGAAACCTCATCTCTACTAAATATACAAAAATTAGCTGGGCGTGGTGGGAGGCACCTGTAATCTCAACTACTCAGGAGGCTGAGGCAGGAGAATCACTTGAACCTAGGAGGTGGAAGTTGCAGTGAGCCAAGATTGTGCCACTGTACTCCAGCCTACATGACACAGCAAGACTCCATTTCAAAAAAAAAATAAAGTCCTATCCATATAAGAACACTTATGTTAGAGTTATAGAAAAACAAAAACATTAATAATATTCTACAGTCCCAGGCAAAATCCAGACAGGGGACAGAAACCACACCAATTATTTTGACACAGAAATTTAATATAAAAAACTGTTACCTAGGTATTTGAAAACTAATGAGATTTTAAAAAAGAATACTAAGGTATGAAAAAGAAGTTGCAAGAAGCAAATACTAGAAAATTACACCATTCATACTATAAGCACAGTATCGGAAAATTTATACAAAATGAGACAATTTTTTAAAAAAAAGAAATTTAGAACTATAAGAATAATTGAATATCACCTTTTCTTATGTTCCTACAGGGTTTTTATTTGGTTGGTTGGAACTGAAGTTGTTTTGTTTCATTGATGGGAAAACTAAATATATTCTGGGTATACAAAACTATACCAAGAACAAGAAAAGAAAAATTCCAGTGCTTACTGAACAATATCAATTATCTCGATAAGTAAAGAGGCTTCTGATTTCATACTGTAGTTATGTTAGAGTTCAGTATATTAATCATCACTTTTTAAAACTATAATTTCAAAAGAATCACTTACCAAACACTATTCCTTTAGCAAATGGAGGAAATAATTCTGAATGTCGGAATAAGTTTTTGTGAATTTGCCATAGTTCTTTGTGTAGTTTCTTAAAATCACTGTATCTCTTCCATACAATTATCTAAAAAGAGAATAAAATTAGACATGTATCTAGGTTCAGATATCTGAACAACAAATAATCTTTTCACTCAAGTGTTCAAAATTGTCATGCAAAGGCAAATGCACGTCCTAACCAATATGATTAACTGACTGAAATTAACTAATAATATTTACTTTAAAAATATAAAGCAGATTCCTGCTGACCAGGAGCATAGAAAAAAATAAAGTAAAAATATATTACACATAAAGCAATAATCCTTTAAACTATTCTGTTTTGGTTTCAAATTTTCATTTTAAACAAGTATGGTTTTATTCATAATGGAAAAATATTCAATCCAGAAGATTTACACTACATAAAATGTCACTTCACCTCTTAGAAAACCAATTACAATTGGCTTGCAAATGAGTTCGATGTCAAAACATATATTCTTTCTCAAAATAATACATTTATAAAGACAAAATAATTAATTTAGGCAATTTTTAAACAAAAGCACATTCTCAGTCTTTGCCTAAAAGGATAAAGACTGAAGAAAAAGTAGCTGTGCAGCAAGCAATTAACATGAACCTTCACGTCGTAAATCTTTTTTCATAAACCATAATTTATACGAGTAATAAGATTTCTATAGGCAAGCTGAATCCTGACCAGAACATCATTAAAATTAGTACAATTTTAAAAAGCAAAGTAACAATCACCTAGATGAGACAACATGTAAAAGTGTGTTTTCTTTCATTAGTCTGAATTATTGTTTAACATTACTCAGATTAAACCAAAAAAAAAACAAAAAACACTTTGTAAAGATTGTAAAGAAAAAGGATTTGAAGCATGGCCTTGATATCAGATTCAGCCCCTCAATCTCCACAGAGCAGAATAAAGCTGAGTTTTAAATCCCATTACTTCAGATACTGGGGTCTTTACTTCGGAAAAGCTTAATCATCTCAGTTTTAACAAACTTTTCTACAAGTTTTTCATAAACAACAGAGTGTAATGCTAATGAGCAAACACCAGGTCAAGCAGTTAACAGATGTGATTTAAGAGACTCTTGCCAAAAAACCTACTCTCTGCATGTATAAAATTCTTCAGCAAACTTTTTCATACTGCCCAAAATTCTACCTTAATTAATAAATTTATTGTTAACAGTTATAATCTTAGGAGGCGAGACAGACTACAACATGAATTAATTTTTAAAAATCTGCTTCCTCGTGATGCTTCCCTTGTATTTACTGACTCAACAACAAAAAGAGTCACTGAAACAAATATGTTTATGGCCCTACTTTGCACTAAGCATCATACTGTCACAAAGTGTGAAGAGAAGGGAAAAACAGGCCCTGCCCTCAAAGAGTTCACATTCTAATTAGGAAGAATAAGCCAACACATCATAAAACAACAACATGGTAAGACAGCTTGAAAAATGTTCAAAGGGGCAGCCCAAGAGAGCTATAGAAGTAGTACCTAAATCCGCCTTGCATATCTGAGAAGGCTTCACAAAAAGTACTACCTTAGAGAATCCTGAAGGGAAGTGGTCAGTAGACCCACAACAATAAAATAAAAGGGGAGGGAATTGAGGATGACGTTTTTAAAAGGAGAGTGAATTGCCAAGTATATATTACTAAACGAAGACAAAATAATTAATTTAGGCAATTTTCAAACAAAAGTACATACTCAGTATTTGCCTAAGATGATAAATAAACTGAGTAACACTGAAGAAGAAATAGCTGTGTAGCAAGTTCTGCTACAGATTTTTGGTTTTCAACATATTTATTTAGGAGCTCATGAGGGAGCTACTTGGAGCTGTTTAATGAGATAGATAGCTTTAAGAGCAAGAACTAAGCAGGATCTATTAACCTGTAGATTAAAAGATCAGTAGCAGACAGGCGGTAATCACTCAGGAAAGGTTTCTCAGCATGTGTAATGAGATGTGAGGATTCTAACAACAGAATGATGTGAACAAAAAATTGCTATTTTTATATTTTAAAAATATATCAAATTACAATCATACTACATTGCCAATGAATTAAGGGAGAAATGGGTGATTGGCTTTTGAAAGCAGTACCTTATATAAGGTAAATGACATTATAAACTGGACATTACATAAGGTTAAGGCCAGTATGACCTGGATGTGAAAGTTATTCAAAAGATTGTAGTTCATGGAAATACTTAAGATTTGCAAATAAAATTTTTATTCTAGTTAGGGTCATTTTTAAATAATGTAAGAGAAAAGGAGCAAAATTTAACAATTTAATTATAATAACTATTAAAATACCATGGTATATAAATCAGCAGACAGTCTGTCAGAGCAAGAATTAGAACCCTCAAGGTGAGAATCTGTGTTTCTTCACCATGCCCTAATTTATTCATTCTCATATTCCTTCTTCTCAACCCTAGGGCTGTAGAACCAAAATGCCTAACAGATATTGCAAAAATATCACATCCACTGCCTCCTTTTCTTCTTACTCCTTCTAAGTTTTGAGGTTTCCAGAAATCTTCAAAATACAAAAGTGAACAAAGGTATGTATACTTCCACTACAACAATAAGTACTGATCTTCATATCTGGACTACGCGAAGTCCTCAAAGACACATACAGAAATTATTTCCTCTAATTAATGTTAGTTACTTTCCCATTGGAAAAAATAGGTCTAAAACACCTATTTCTTTATTGAACCAAATTTGCATACATTTCTTATTTATTAAAGTCATTCTGAAGAAAATGTAGCAATGAAATATAATTTAGTGACAACCATATAAAAAATACAAATTCAGCCGGGCGCGGTGGCTCAAGCCTGTAATCCCAGCACTTTGGGAGGCCGAGAAGGGTGGATCACCAGGTGAAGAGATCGAGACCATCCTGGTCAACATGGTGAAACCCCGTCTCTACTAAAAATACAAAAAATTAGCTGGGCATGGTGGTGCGTGCCTGTAATCCCAGCTACTCAGGAGGCTGAGGCAGGAGAATTGCCTGAACCCAGGAGGCGGAGGTTGCGGTGAGCCGAGATGGCACCATTGCACTCCAGCCTAAGTAACAAGAGCGAAACTCCGTCTCAAAAAAAAAATAATAATAAAAAAATAAAATACAAAAATTAGCCGGGCATGGTGGTGTATGTCTATAATCCTAGCTACTCAGGAGGCTGAGGCAAGAGAATTGCTTGAGCCCGGGAGGCAGAGGTTGCAGTTGAGCTGAGATCGCGCCATGGCAATCCAGCCTGGGTGATAGAGTGAGACTCCATCTCGAAAAATAAATAAAAATAATAATAATAATAAATAAAATTATTTTTTAAAGAAAGGATTTAACAGAGATTTCTAATATAATACATAGAAAGTCCTATTTCAGTTATTTTCCCTTCCCAAATCTCACCAGTGAAATATCCTACCTGTAGAGAGAAATAGGAATAGGTTAATTTGTTTAAAAAACGGTGAGGGAAAGCAAAACCATCTCTTTCTTCACTTTTCTGCTCATGTTCTACATGATCTACTGAATAAGAGGCCACAGATTTTTTTCACATTCTTAGGAAGAAAACACTGATATCTGGTGGCATGTGCTAAAGTATATATAAAAGAAAAACAACAAAATTTCTCCCACTGTGTAAGGCTAGCATATTACTAGCCCTACATTTGGTTGAACTATCAGTACATCTAGTTTCAAAGAGCACTTGTGAAGCCTTACTATAGTCTAAAGCAGTAACAAATGAATAAATTAATGGAGAAGGAAAGTGAAAGGAAGTGAAAAACAAACTTTAAGTGGTAAATTCCTCTCCCAAATGAGAATTCTAATATTTAAATAAACTAAATGGGAAACTTAAAAAAGTACTGTTATAATTTCAAGGTTATTCTATATTTTAAGAAGCCAACTAAATAGAAGACTTTTTTTAAAATTTATGCCACTTCTAACAACGGACCATGCAATTGTCTAACTAAAAGACACTTACAAGAGTTTTCTGATGAATGGTTCACCAACAGTTGTTATTATAAAAGAGTTTTCCCGAAAAAAGGATTAAGAAAATGGCAGAGAGTATGTTCATGGATAGGTTGGTTCAGGATTCTTCCTGGAAAATGGGAACATCAGGCTACAAACTACAGCACAGCAATCAGACAATGCATTCAAAGGAAATACACCCATTTCAATTTTAAGAGTTGTAAACTAGAAATCTAAAGAATAGTTCATACTCATCAACTGACACAAGTAAACACAGAAAAGTACTTTAATCACGGTGCAAATTACTTTCACTGGGATATATATAAATTAATGGTACATATACATAAACACACACACAACACACCAGTGAAAATAATATATATATATATATATATATATATATATATGAAGGTATGTTATATCTTTCAAAATAACAATATCATATATTCTTCCTGACTACTGGTGGGGGGGAGGGGTTGTCTTAAAACCCATCAGGAAAATAGTATTAAATCTTTCTTAAATGTATCTGTTTTTGTTTTTTGTTTTTTTTTTTTGAGACAGATTCTTACTCTGTCTCCCAGGCTAGAGTGCCGTGGCGCAATCTAGGCTCACTGCAACCTCCCCGTCCCAGGTTCAAGCAATTCTCCTGCCTCAGCCTCCTAAGTAGCTGGGATTACAGGTGCCTGCCACCACACCTGGCTAATTTTTGTATAAAATGTATCTTTTTTAAATCATAGGACAAAAACAACTATAAGATCAGACATAGCCAGAAATGATAATGTATAAAATTTAAATACTATCTAAACCTGGGGCGATACACTCAAACCAACCAGTACCAGTCAGCTTAAATGTATGAATCAAGCCAGGTATTTCTGTAGAGTGGTGGGGCCTGTGGCTAAATAGAAGAACCTACTGCCCAAAGACTTTCATATTTAATTGTGGGGGGGAAAAAAAATACTGTTGCAGCAGAATGAGGACTGTAAACTTAAAGTATCTGTTTTAAACACACATTAATAAGGGAGAAAAAAACAATCCCAATATATGTCTTTCTAGTCTTAGTGAAAATGAGTAGGGACTAGAATAAAAGTCAATCGAGAAACACTAAAAGCAGCAAGCTCCTCAGTAAGGATTCCTAAAGATATACAACAAGCATGAAGTAAATACAAATAGAGAATTTCGCAATTTTAAGCAAAACATAACAGGCTGGTATCATTTTAGAAAGAAGGAAGAAGTGCACAGAAGAATCTGCAAAAGAACCTATTAACTTAAAAAGTTAAAAAAGAAACATCTGTACCTAAAACAGTTTTCCAAGATGTCAACATGTCAACTCAATATAAAAGTGAAAGTAGGTGGAGACCCATTATATATCGTTAGAATCTTTGAAATAAATACTAGTTACCAAATACTTTTTATTACATAGGTGTTGTGATCTTGAAATGGGTAAACAGGGGGCCCTTAACTGATACTGAAATCTTGTAAACACTGGTTACCGGACCAATTATCATTTAGTAAACCGCACTATATATAATTCATTAAATTCTTATTTCTATAACTTAACACCTACTAAAACTTAACACTTACATAATAGGTCTCGAATAGGACACTTCAGCTACTGTTTTGTGAACTGAAGACAATCTTCACGCAAACATATAAAGACTTGATATACAAGCTGGGCACAGTGGCTCACGCCTATAATCCCAGCACTTTGGGAGGCCAAGGCAGGTGGATCACCTGAGGTCAGGAGTTCGAGACCAGCCTAGCCAACATGGTGAAACCCCGTGTCTACTAAAAATACAAAAATTAGCTGGGTGTGGTGGTGGATGCCTGTAATCCCTGTACTCGGGAGGCTGACCAGGAGAATCGCTTGAACCCAGGAGGCAGAGGTTGCAGTGAGCTGAGATTAAGCCATTGCACTCCAACCTGAGCTACAAGAGTGAAACTCCATCTCAAAAAAAAAAAAATTTGATGTACAAATGATTCAGGCAATTTCCTCAAAAAAGCATTTAATTAAATTTTTATCAAATACATAAAATAAAATCTTCATATGGATGTTACCTCCTGGACATCCTCTGGATTTCTTCGTGAAACAACCTAAAACAAAACATACATAGAAATCTCTAATCATTATCAAATTTAAGATTTCATATTTGTATAATTCACTTTCAATAGTATTTGTATGAAAAATTCAATTTGCTTAAAAGAAAATAAACACTATATCATTTATCCAAAACTCAGTTATATAATAAGTTCACTACCTGAAATACATACTGTTACATCAAGTTTAACCTAAAGTTACCTCCTTTAGGCTACATATTTTAAGTTTGGCCTAAAAGTTTCTCTGTACATAATAGAGAAACAGATGTATAAATAGATATATAAACAGACTGTAACCTACTCTGGCGGCAGTCGCCAAGTTTTGACCGAAAGGGGCCAACTGTTCAAATGATGTTCAACTAAAGCAAACGCTTAGCTGGAACTAATGCAGCTGTTTGAACAGTTCCTTTTCTGTATATCACTTTCCTTTTTCTGTCCATAAATCTTCCACCACATGCCTGTGCTGAAGTCTCTCTGGGCCTATACTGGCTGAGGAGGCTGACCAATTCGTGAACCATTCTCCGCTCAATTAAACTCTGTTAAATTTAATTTGGCTAAAAATTTTCATTCAACAATACTAAAAATTAAGCAAAAAAGCAGCTAAAAGTCCACCTGCTAATGTTCATATATTCATTACATTCATAAGAAAAAGCTTCCAGCCTTTACTCTTAACATAATTCTAACAAGCTTGTCTACATCTCCCCTTCCCAGCAAGCCTACATATAAATTAGAAGCATAAAAAGCAGCTGTGCTTAGGCAACACATACAAGGGCCCTCTCTACATTATTTCTTACAACTGTATATGAATCTACAATTAGCCCAATAAAAATTTCAATTAAAAAAAGCAGACACAATGCTCAGACACACCGTGTGAGAAGTACGAGAAGTAATCACGGGCTGCATAATGACGAAGAAAATAAAAGTAATATAAATTATATACAAACATTCAGGGACAAATAATCCTCCAGCAATACTCGCTAAGGAAAGAGGAAAATGGAGATTCTTTCAGGCTTCTCTGATTACAAAGGCCAAAAAGTCTAACACCAGGTAGAAAGATTTTTTTTTCGCAAAACTTTTGAAAAGGCTAGCTGCTTAAATCATCAAACACATCATAAACTAGGAAAATCTCACATTATATAATACAGCAACATCCATGTAAACATCAAATTAACAGATTTGAAGCTACAACGCTGTATTTTGCAAAAACAAACAAAAAGATAAATCAGGCTGTTCTGTCTACGGAATAGCTATTCTTTATTCCTTTACTTTCTTAATAAACTTGCTTTCACTTTAAAAAAAAAAAAGATAAATCAAACACAGATTAAAATAGTTGCCTATGAGTGTGAGGAAGAAAAGGGTCTTCAATAGCCAATGATTGATTACACACTATGAACTAGGGATTATAATCCATTCAGCACCACTCCTAAAGTCTGACACCAGAACAAAAAATGGAGGATTTTAAAGTCTGACAAACTTTGGTTCAAACTACAGTTCAATTTACAGGTTTGATCTCATCTATAAAATGGAGATAATACTAACTGCCTTGCCTGGTTGTTGTGAACAAATAACACAGCAAGAACGCTATAATTTAAAAGCCTCCTTTTCCCCCACCAGACAGGTTAACCATTGTAAAAGCTCCCACCTAAGAATTCCAGAGAACAAATATCTTGCACTCTATTCTCCAACTTTCACAATACATAAACTTGGTGAAATCCTGTAGCAATTTTCATTAATTCATACAACACTGCTACGCAATAGAACTTTCTGTGATGACGGAAAAAATGCTCTCTATGTGCAGTGTTCAACACAGTCACCACTAACCACATGTGTGTGGCTACTGAGACACTGAAATATGGCTGCTTTGGGAAACTACTTTTTCATTTAAATTAATTCAAAAAAAATTTGTTTTCAAGACAGGGTCTCACTCTGTCACCCAGGCTGGAGTGCCACGGCGTGGACCACAGTTCACTGCAGCCTCAAACTCCTGGGCTCAACTGATCCTCCCACCTCAGCCTCTTGTGTAGCTGGGACTACAGGCACAGAACACCACAGTCAGCATATATATAGGTATATATATATTTTTTATATATTTATATATTTTCTTTGGTAGAGACAGGGTCTCTACAACAGGCACACAACACCACAGTCAGCATAGATATAGTTACATACATATATAAATATTTATGTGTGTGTGTGTGTGTGTGTATTTTTTTTTTTGGGGTACAGATGGGGTCTCCCTATGTTGCTCAGGCTGGTCTCAATCTCCCGGGCTCAAGCAATCCTCCTGCCTCAGCCTCCCACAGTGCTAGGAGTCTAAGTGTAAGCCACTGCAGGCCTTAATTTAAATTTAAATCAAAATAGCTACAGGGGTTAATGTCTACCAAATTAGACAACACAGATTTAGTATCAAAGAGACTGTAACAGGTAACTAACAACCAGACATTATTCAAATATTTGATTTTAGCTATTACTTTCAAATATCAGCCTGTCCCCTCACACACACCTTTCCAAAAGTATAATATTTCACATAGTTTAATGACTGACTTTGTTTCTTACATTTTTATGAAATGTATTGAGAAGTAGTAGATAACCAATCCACTAATAATTCACCGACCAAAAATAACACACTATCACTCACTACAAGGTCTATTCAATTGTAACTTATATTTTACAATGTATATTTTTCTCAATGTAATAGATTTCCTAAATTTATAAATATATGAAGGTGTCTTAACTACTTTAAATAATCTTCTTTAAAACATGCAAATGATCTTTTTGAGAAAGAAGAACTTATTTCTTTTTTCTATCACCCAGGCTGGAATGCAGTGGCATGATCTCAGCTCTGTCACCTAGGCTGGAGTGCAGTGGCACGATCTCGGCTCACTGCAACCCCCCACCTCCTGGGTTCAAGTGATTCTCCTGCCTCAGCCTCCTGAGTAGCTGGGATTATAAGCATGCGCCACCACGCCCAGCTAATTTTTGTATTTTTAGTAGAGACAGGGCTTTACCATGTTGGTCAGGCTGGTCTTGAACTCCTGACCTCATGATCTGCCTGCCTCAGGCTCCCAAAGTGCTGGGATTACAGGCAGGAGCCACTGTGCCCACCCTAGAAGAACTTATTTCTTAGTGTACATATTAGAAGTATCACAGGTACTCGTGGAAATCAAATACATATGTACTACATAAACAAAAACACATTAGCCATCCCCTAACAATAGCCACAATATTAAAGCCATCTTATCAGAAATAACCAATTTGATTACTATTTATCAGCCATCCTCTTAGTGGTCTACATACTTCTATGTGCTGGAGTACAACAGTAAGCAAAACAAAGTCCCTTTCTTCCTGGAGCTCACAGTCCAGTGGTACACAACGGTGGGGTGGGAGGGGAGCGCAGAGTGAAGGAGGGTGTATTTCTCTAACATATTTCCATAACTCAGATAACAGTAGTGTGCTAAGCAACAGACTGGTAAACATTTCATCTGAGATCCTTCCCATGATACTGAATCCTCGCTGTTCAGAGCAAAGTGACATCCCAAAGCAGTCAACCAGTCATGGTTTAGTGATGTAAGACTTTTAGTGGTTTCATAATAAATTTACTGAATTTTTTGGCATATTGGTTTTCTACTAAACAATATTACAAGTCAAAAACAAAGGAACAGTAGTATAAACTAGAGTCTAGAAAACACAGGACACCTTAAGAGCTATTTTTCAAACATTTTAAGCATAAATATATTTTACAACAAACTAATTACCCTCCATATCGCTATGATTATTTTGTTTGTTGAAAATATCTCCAGATTAAGCTAATACTAAGTATTTATTCAAGAAATCTTCAAGGAGCTACTGATTTAACAACTGAAATCTCCCACTGCTTTCATACCAGACATTTGTAAAAGTCAAACAGGTTAAGGATTTAAAATTTAGTAGGTTCTCTTTTTTCTTGACTTAAATGATTACTTGAAATGTGTGTGACTATACATTACTTTCAAATAAAAAAGCTAACAAAGCTAAAAATTAAAACATGCAGGCCAGGCACAGTGGCTCACACCTGCAATCCCACCACTTTGGAAGGCTGAGGAGGACAGATCACCTGAGGCCCGGAGTTCAAGACCAGCCTGGCCAACACGGCAAAACCCCATCTCTACTAAAAATACAAAAAAATTAGCTGGGCGTAGTGGCTCGCATCTGTGGTCCCAGCTACTCAGGAAGCTGAGGCAGGAGAATTGCTTGAACCCAGGAGGCGGAGGGTGCAGTGAGCCGAGATTGCGCCACTGCACTCCAGCCTGGGTGACAGAGCGAGACTCTGTCTCAAGAAAATAAATAAAACATGCAGCCTCTTACATACAAAAACTCTACCATGAAAATTATACTAGAGGATAAAAGACTGAATGCTTTCCTCCTAATATCAGGAACAGGGCAAGGAAGCCTACTCTCAACACTCCTAATCAAGACTGTAGTCTACAAGTCCTAGCCAAGCAATAAAGCAAGAAAAAGAAATAAAAGTCATACAGATTGGAAAGAATAAATAAAACTATGCCTTTTGGCAGACAACATGGATTGTCTATGCAAGAAAAAAAACAAGTATTCTTCTAAAAAGTGTTAGACTAATAAGTCAGTTTGAAAGGTGACATGTAATAAGGGCAACACAAAAATGAACCTAATTTCTATAGACCAGCAAAGAAAAGCTGAAAACCAAAATTTTTTAAAACACTATTGACAATAGCTATGAAAATATGAAACAGTGAGGAATAAATCTAACAAAACATATGAAGAATCTATTTGCTCAAAACTACAAAATGCTGATGGAAGGGATCAAAGAACACAAATAAATGGCAAGACATATTGTGTTCATAGATTTGAAGATTCAACATAGTAAAGATATCCATTTTTCCCCAAAATGATCTACAGATTTAATGCACTCCTAATCAAAATCCCAACAGGCTTTTTGTAGCTATAGATAAACTTATTATAAAATATATATGAAAAAGCAAAGG